TGCATGGCCTATATCTGCAAGATTGATCCAGCAGCGCCTCTCGATATCAGCTATGTGGTTCCAGAGTCTATAGCCACGCGGGTTCTCAATGACGACGCGCCGGATATGGAGTCCCAGACGGCAGCACTTACTCACAAAGAGGTACCGCTTATTTTCATTGATTGAGATTCTCTCTCTTCAGTCACTATGATGTACTACGACATTATTATTTATTAGTGATTGCAGCCCTCCAATGGCTGCTCCCTGCATACTCTGTATTCTACTCTTCAGTCTCGTGTCTCTGGTCATACTCTTGCAGAGTCTGGTTTCTGGTCTTCTCATTTTGTTAGTGTCAATTGCTCTATGATGCATGTATGTTATTTTCCTCCTTGTTTCACACAGGTTAGACTCAAGACAGCTTGAAAGACTCCTTAATAATAGGGATTCCGGTGACCTTGGGTCTATCCTTTATACCGGGTCGGGAGCAGGCGATAAACCCGAACGCCCTACTCTAAGCCGTGTTGTTGTTGGCAGGAGGGATAACCCTGACTACTCGACTGTATGACAAAGTGTGACTGCCTCTGAATGCACCTCTATTTTATACTTATCAAAATCCTGCGTGACAGCCTGTCAGTCCTCCAACCCACTGAGCTTGGGCCGGGGAAGGACATCTAACCAGACCCTTGGAGCAGTGGGGACGCGACAAAAATGGCGACGTTGCCGGGGACTAAAAAATCTTGAGTTCCTGGGAGCGGACCTTGATCACAATATTTTGTGACTAGGCAGCAGTCTAGCATATTTCGTACAAGGTCTGGCTCAAGTCAGAAAGACTTTCGGCTAGAGGAGCCCCGAGAGGAGGGGCCTCTTGCAGAAGTCTATCTGAAGTGATTCAGACCTGCAAGCAAGGGTTTGAAATTTGTTTTCTGGACCCTTCGCTTGAAAAGTCCATAAGTCAGAAACCAGATAATGACTGAAGAGTATAATGTCCTAGAAGCCCTAACTCGTGCCACCTGCGGTCGTGCCTTCCCTTATATGTTTGTCAAATGTATTACTTGTGTGAAAAATACAACGACTGTGCATGTGTTTGTCTCTAGATTCCTTGACAGTGATGACTATGATATTCGACCCTACATCCTAGAAGGGACTGATCGGGATACTAGTTTCTTTACCAAGTGGGATGTCATAGTGGAGTGTGTCAAAGTAGAGAGGGATCAATTGAGACAACAAGGGATAGAAGCGAGTTGGAGCTTAGTGCCTAGGATTTATGAGAAGATTCTTACCTCGCCAGTACCTAAAGGGTTCTGTGATGGTAGGAACTGGCAGCCAATCATCAATGCAGTGCTGAGAAGGCAAACCTGGTAAGTAGTCAATGTCAACAGTAATGAAAGCGATAGAGGCGCTGACTAGGATCACGGCTGGGGGTGCCTTCCCGTACGTCATTGAGAGGTGTGTGACTTATGAGCACGACTCAGTGATCTTGTACGTCCTTGTAGCTCGGTTTCTTGATACAGATGACTAGGATGTGAGGCCATACGTAGACAAGGAGAGGGATCGATTACGAGGCATGTTGGATAACTGCTGCTGAGTATGTCCTGGATGAAAGGCTGTTGCTGAGACAACGAGGAAAGAAAGTTACTTGGAGTGTCCTGCCTTGAGAGTTTGAGAGATTCCCAAGTCCGTCTGTGCCCGCTAGCTTCTGCGACGGGAAGGACTGGGGACCAATCCTCAACGCGGTACTTAGGGACTGAGTATGGTAAGCCATGCCACGAGATGTCTACACTTCTGATGACGGAAAGAGCTTCTGCTTCGATGTCTATCCAGATGAGCAACGAGCGACTGTCATCGGGGCCGTGAGAGGATGCGACACTAGGCTAGGTAGGCGCGATGAGATTGGCATGGTAGAGCACTACCTTGAGCGTATGCGGACGGCTGCTTTTAGAGCAATTACGGATCAGACTAAGATTAGGCATCTACTGGACTGCAAGAGTTCGGACGGCAGGAGAGTGATGCTGCATGCGAGGGATGAGACCATCCTATCTAGACAACATCCTGCGGACAGTCTGGCGAGAGGCCCTAGAGGCAGCCCAAGACAATGATACTGGAATGTAAAAACTCTATGTCAATTGCGACTGTGACCGTTGGTAGAGGATGGCTAGATAAAGTAATTGAGACTGATAGTCCGCTCGAGATATTGAGACACGACCTCTGTAAGAAAGGACGTTTAGTATTCTATGTTCCAATGGTCTGATTTCTCAAGACTGACGAGCTTGACGTGATGGTTTATGCTCAGGAAGGAATAAAAGAGGAAGAAGGCTATTTAGAATTCCTGAGGAGAGTGTACATTCACCTCTCGAGGATAAGGGAACTGCTTCGAAGCTTGCATGAGAAAGTGACTTGGGATAAACGAGTTAGACAATTTGAAAAGCTCCCTAGTTTTCTGACTATGGATAACTTCACTGATAGGAGAGACTGGGCGCCTCTTCTAGAAGCTATTGTCGTGGTTAGTAAGGCAAGAGAGAATGACCTAGTCCTGCGACCAAAGACACTGTTTTCGATACCTTTGTACGTCGGTTCGAAGTCCAGGACGAAGGATCTCCTGAATTTTCTATCACTTGACGACAGAAAACTTGTTGGCTTCTTAGAGAGAAACTCGGTGAAACTCGGTGAATACAGGGCTGACTAAGGATGTAGAAATTATGAGATGGCGAAAGGCAATCGTGAAAGCCCGATTGAAGGTAACTTAGTAAGACAGGGGATAGAGAAGGAGCTGACAAGACAAGAATCTGAGAAGGTGAGAGCCCTCATTCGCGGTTGGAGCCGTGAG